ACCCTAACCCTAACCCTAACCCTAACCCTAACCCTAACCCTAACCCTAACCCTAACACCTTAGCTATGTACAACATCTACTAGTAGTTTCTTACTAATACAAGAGACTAGTAGAGACAGGTACTAAATAACAGAAAAGAGATATGCGCACATAGGAATAGGAACAAAATGCACTGTTTATTGTCTTCTAATCTCTTTCTTACTCTAGGCAGTGTAACTATAGGTAATGAAAAAACTATAAGTCTTCGCAAAGAAATGCAAAGATAGGAAAAATGCCCTTACGAGCGAAGTAATCTACGAGTTTACATGCCTTTTCGGCTAGCTTATACGAGTAAGCTCTTTCGAGCGTTAACCCTTTGCAAGGTAAAGAACAAGAAATAGGAAATAGCTTGCATTTATGCCACCGAACTAGCTGAGCCTATTGCGTCATTCTAACAAGTACTGTCGTCAGCCAAGCTTTTCCACGGTGCAAAGAAGCCGAAATGTCAGGTGCAGTTCATCATCGCTACCAAAAGCACTCAACTGCGGCAACGACGCCTCAATCATCTTGCATCTCGGCATCTGTATCCTCTTCGTCAACGGGTCCGTCGCCAGCGGCAGCTTTGAGATCCTTGACCGCCTTCTTACACATGCTGATGTAGATCTCAAGGTTCTTGGTCGTGACGTTGTACTTTGCAATGACCTCCTTGGCGAAGTACCGGCTGGCCTGCAAGGCGAAGAACTTGGCTCCGTCGGTGTCAGGGGAGTTGCCGGCCGCCTCCCAGAGGTCATCCAAGTTGTCGGGAGACGCGGCCGTACCGTGGTAATCGACGATACCTGTCAGAGAGTCGTTGTGCGCGTCCACAATGCGCTGCAGCAGCCGAATATGGTCGCTCAACCAGAGCTCCAGGTTTGTGTCCACCTTTGTGCATTTCGGAGGCGGTCCCTGGGCTTCTTCGTGGAAGAAAGGGCGCATCAGCGCAATCTCTTTGCTGATCGCAGAGTTGGTAGTTGTATCAAGTGTCTTGCTGTGTTGTATAATATACTGCAGAAAGAGGTACGCCCCCAAGCCTGTGCGGATGTCGCCGTAAGTTACGCGGGTTTCCGTATCCCGGAGATAATTTGCGTATTTGGAGACGTTCTCGGGTGTCAATGTGCCGGTCTTCACTAGGCCAGGAAACATGTCCTGTGAATGTTAGCAATGTTTACACCGTGCATTACGGTTGAAACGTACCGTGAGCCAGCGGTGTGCCTCTTTGGCGTCTTCTTTCTCGAACTTGTGATGCAGGTTCATTAGACGATACATTGCGATAAGTTGGGGGATGTCAGCGTCCTTGAAGTCCTCCTCAGACTTCAGAAGCGCTCTTTCCATCTCATCTAGAAGCCAAGAGGCGCCCGTGACCGCGTACTGAGAAGACATGGACTGAATGTCTAGGGCCTGGCTGATCTCGGGAGGGAACTGAACCCGTGCGGTTGACTTGGCAGGGCGGAAGCCACCTTGATCCATGGAAGCTTGAAGTGTCTCGGCCAAGTAGTTCTTGATCTCGTTTGGCCACTCCTTGATTCTCTTTCCGATTTGACCCTGGTCATCATCGCGGTAAGGCTGGAAGAAGAAGACTTCTTCCGCGGTAACAGGGATAGCTTGACATAGCTATCGAGAATGAGTATATTCAAGCCTTTTACACCGTGCAGTGTTTCAAGCTTACCTGACTCTGCGGATTGCGGTTGACCAATTGATAGTAAAGGATTTTGCCGGCCTGGAGGCTGCTGAACTTGACCTTGGGTCTTAGGGTTAGTCATGTTTCTCACGTGAGCCACAGTGTACTTACGACAACTTTGGTCATGAATTCCTCATGTGGCCAGACCGGGAGAACGTCGAGCGCCACCACCGAGTTCACTGAAGCTTTGAATGGCATGTCGATCTTCTTGAGGACATCCAGGGCGGCCTGGGTGACAGGATCATCGCCGACAGAAGCTGCTTTCTGCTGTCTGAGCACAGCGGCCCGATGTGGACGCACGCCGACCCAAAGGCCGGTGCACGTCACGTTGTCGACATTCGTCTTTGTCTCCTCTGGAGTGACAGTGAGGGCGCGCTCGGCAATTCGCTCGCCCGAATACGCGGTGCTACTAAATTTCTCGACACGCTGCAGAGGTAAAAGTAAGAAGTCAGCGAATATGTCACATATACACTTCGTACACAGCCAGGGCTTACAAGGAGTTGGTGGTCGGGTTTGTCTGGGGCCTTGATGCCAACCAAACTGTACGAAAATGCCAGCTTGCTCTGGTGGCTGTTCTGCTGCTGTGGTTCCGCCATTTCTGCGAGTGTTGCGCGAGTAGGATGTGGAGAGAAGATACTGGGGCGCAGTGTCGGGGTTACGAAATTTTAGCGCGCCTCTAGCGCCGTCCTCACCTTCACCTCAACTTCTACTGAGCCACGAAGCTGCGTCCTCCACTTGCACTGCTACCACAAGTAATTACCGTCACCCAAAATGCCCCCGAAGGCTAAACGCAAGGCGAAAGCGGCGGCGAAGCCGGTGGATCCAGTGCTCAAGGACGCCACCGTCGCTGTCAAGAAGGCAAGAGCCGCTCAGGACTGTCTGGCAGAGATTGATGAAGACGACCCCAAGGCGGAAGAAGAGTCGGAAAAGGCCTCAGAGGCACTGATCGAAGCTGTGCGCCATTTCACCACCGTCACCGACCGCAACATGACAATGTCCGTCGCCAGGAAAGTCCGCACTATTCGCCGTGTCCCCGTACACGATGCGCAAATGGTCAAGCTACGGCTATTGGTCTCAATTCGACAGGCGCGCATCCCACAAGCCCAGGAAGCCACAAGTGCACCGTGCACAGAGGGCGATGTACATGATTCGGCCAACGCTGTAGCGGACCTCAGCAGTGCGATATTGGGCCTGCAAGTCTCCAAGGCCTGGGCACCGTCCACCGAGCATAACGAAGAAGCGCAGAACAAGCGTAACTACCCATTCAATTCACCTCTTCAGGCTCTTGCTAACTCCACTCCAGGCATGGCATACCCGATGGACCTTTCAAGGAACGAGAACGAGCTCGACGACGACAAATTCACTCCATACGTTGAGGGTACCAAGATCCACGAACACGTTCTCGACGACGGAACATTCATGTACATCGACTCTAAGACCGGCAAGCAGGTCAAGGACCAACACGGCACCCCTCTGGATCTTCCCAAGCAGGCCACTGGAGCCGGTGACGAGACTGTCGCTGATGGAGGCGATGAAGAAGGCGAGAAGGATGGCAATGGAGACGACACGCGGGACGTAGACAACGAAGACGCGCCCTCAGGATCAGAGACAGCCGGTACTATGGGCCCTGTCTTGAACGCCAAGCCCCCTGCAACGAACGCAAAGAAGCCGGAGTTCTTGACGATGGGATTCTGCATCGATTGCAGCGGCGTGACTCCTACTGATGAGCTCTTTACCCACTATAGGGCGGACATCTCCAAGGACGTCGTGCAATGCATGGACTGTCAGAAGGCAGAAGACGAGCGCACCAACACTGCCATCTGCCGTAAATGTCTATACCGGTGGTATCCACAGTACTTCGTTGATCCGTCGCGACCAGGCCATTGCAACCTGTGCACCGGGCATATGCTTTTGTAGTAACTCGGAAGACACATAGGATGATATGATCAATACACTTGTGATGCACCGTCCATTGTTCGTTTCCTCCGTGCGATGTGAGAATAACATGTCTGCGTTCCCCGACCCGCAAGACTTATGATAGCGCAGTGACAAATAGCAGCGAGCGATTCACAGCTCTGGCTCCTCACAGGATACCTTATCGATAGGAAGCAAAAGTGAAGGTCAAGGCAGATGGTTGTGGCAGCCACTAGCGGAGACGCTAGAGTGTATACAGAAACGTCCACCCCGACCCAAACTTCCTTCCTCTTTCTCCACAACACACGAAACCCCACACGCGAGAAAACATGGCGTCGCACCCGAACCATCAGCGCATGCACGGCTTCGAGTACGTATTGTATGCTTTCTGATCACTAGCCAAGAGCTGACATGGTATCAGTAACCTCGGGGTCGATGTCGCGTGCTTGATCAAAGCCTTCGGCATCGCTGCAGAGGATTGGATGTTCGACGCGATTACCAGGGCCCTCAAAAAGGCAAAACTGGAGCCAAAGAGTCTGACTGGGACCGTCTCGCAAGTCATCGCCATCTACCGCCTTATGGAACTTGAAGACCCATTCGAAGAAGCCGACGCCCGAGAGGCTCACCTCTGGATGACGGTACGTTCACTTCGCCAGTCATAGACGGTGCATTGTTTGCTAACTCGCGCAGGAGAAGTTTCCAGAATTGATCCTCACTGGCACCCTCACTCTAGAGAACTTGAACAAGTACGCACTCGACCGACGGATTCACGATTACGACGGGCCTATGCTGCGTTATGGCAATCTCAGGAAGGACCTAGGCGACTACCTGTTGGAACACGCGATTTACCCAGAGGACGAGTCAATTGATAGCAACCCCGGCGGCACGCAAGCAGAGCGGAGGATGTGGATGCGTGGATTCCTGTGGGAAGAGGGTCATTCCGAGTGGCCAAGTATCTGGAACGAGCCCAAAGACCACCGAGCATGGCTGAGGAAGCATCTTGACTTGGTCGACTTCATGGTCGATATACACGGCAACCAACCGACGGTAATTATGCAACGCTATGGCGCTGCCGTCTATAACGCTAATATGGATCAACTGTGGGGAGAACAACTAGATGTTGATGAGGCTGCTAAACAGTTGATTATCGAAGCCGTTAAGTACGCAGTAAGAGAGATTGTCGCTGAGTGTGACGGTGTAGTCGCAAGTATGGAGCCGTACATGGAAGAGCTGAAGGCGGCTATTAAGGGCCTTATGAAGGTTCAGAGGAACGTTTCGAGGTACTAGGATGGAGGGGTTTCAGCTCGAGCTGCAAGCACGGCTTTCGGGCAGACCTTGATGGGCCACGGCGCCGGTGTCTGGGGTCAAGAACTTGCGGCTCATTACCAGGTACCGGTCTACGCAGTCGCCGAACAGGCCGTTGATATCGTGCTGGGTGAGCACTTCGAAGTGACTAGACAGTAAATGATAATGTAGACAGACTCTTTCATGCTTCGTCTAGCCCAGTGCTCGTGAGTCGCGCTACCGTTGAACATGTCGACTTGATTGACATCACTAAAAAGGAGCTACTCCTGCAACATACCAACGGCCTCTAATTTCCATTTCATATACAGGCCAAACTTCTCGGCCCCCGAGCCTTATAGTAGGGTGATGATCTCCGGACTTGGGTAATGAGACGACGTGATCGACCTGTCGCGACTCATGAAAGCCGTGTCGTCGCGAGTAAAAGCTTCGCTCGTGGACTCGTGAAACCTGAACACCGTGACCACCCCGACTCGTGTGTACGTCTTTTCGGCCGCGTTGACTGGTACGATAGCAATGCCCGTATGAGGCGTGATCATAAGCACTTGACAAAAGTCGTGCACTTCAACGTCGAACCATATACTACCTTCTGCAATAATGTCGTTTGTCATGCGGACTTTGCATCCTCTCCCGGTTTCCGATAGCTCAGGCGCTACATCAAACACTGCAGCGACCGGTGCCTTGATCTTCGCAAATCCCGTGGTCAATTCACCGAGCGGGTTGACTCCCTTGGGACAAACGTCGCATTCCAGCAGTTCCGCGCATGTCTCCTGGCCGGGATCGTGGTCAAGTGCATTGTAGACTACAACGCCTTCTACAGACGCAAATGACCATGACGGTGCTCTCCAAGCGTCGGTTCGCTGTGGCGTCTTGGGAAAGAAGACGTATTCGTCCCAGTCGGGTATCTGCAGGCGCCAAAGTAAGCCTTGAAGGAACCAGCTTTTCCAGATACCGGCGAGGCAGACGTCGCCAGTGAGCTTCTGTAGCGCCGAGATGACTCCAGAAAGTGCGGGTAGTTTGTCGGTTTGAAAGGTCATGTTGCGAGACGTGTACTCTTCGATCAAGCGCGACCATACGCGCCATGCTGGGTTGAACCTCCATGTGACCTCTGTGTTCTGGGATCGTTGAGTGTCTCGTAGCACTGGCGCGTCCTTCATGCTCTTGAGTCCCTGCGCGATCCGTTCCAATGAGATCTCTTCACATGCTTTATAGTCTTCGATGTATCCGTCTTCGGTAAGGACTTGCTCCGAGCACTCCCATTGCATTTGGTAGCTCGCGAAGTGTATCGTGCGGCGTGCTAGAACACGTTCCTGGAGGACCCAGACTCGGCTCAAGAGAGGCTCTTCCTAAGCAGCGTTAGCTTCAGACCGTGTGGCGCAGAAATGAGGAGTCTTGAGACTACATCAACATGATAGCATGTAAGATATGTGATACGATGTAGGCTCCTGGGTGTTCGTTTTTCCTAGATCGACGTGTGGAATTGAAGCTTACTCTTCGCATCTTGATCGACTGGTCGATAATAGACTCCATGGAGCCGGGGGACATTGTCAGATCGTCATAATAAACGAAAAGGTCGAATGACCCTTTTCCATCCGTGAAAGTGACGACGTGTCTGTCTTTCGCTTTGCGCGCTTGCAAAAAGCCCTCCCCACAGTGGCTTGCACGCGTAGCAGCGATTGTGAGGTACGCGTTGTTGTACACATCAGCCATTCGAGATGCTTCTTTCTCCCAATCCGCTTTGTCGTCTTGTACGATGCAGAGACAGTCTGCCCACAGGTACCGAACGCCCAGATATCTGGTAAGGAAGACGGCGTCTCGAAGTGTCGAGGGTAGCTGCTTGTACTTGATTCCATCCTTCTCTTTATGCTTGTCCAAGTTCTTCGACGTGGTCGTGATAGGCAAGCCATTTCCCCAACAATAGCTCAAGGCGATGTATCGGCCTGTGCTACCTGAAGAGAGTTCTACGAGCTTCAGCGATGTGTGCTCAAGGAGAGTCCGTGGATCACCGCGGATGCCTTCGAAGTCTGCGCCTATAGGCAGTGAGCCGAGGTCCAGAAGGCGCGTGGGTAGCAAGGTCGCTTCTTGTGTCGATTGTCGGCAGCTCGCATGGTGGTTTTCGCAATGGCTGACCCATCCCGACGTCTTCTCGAGCACATGGGGATGGACCGAGTCCGAAATGATCTCATGCTCCCTGAAGCAGTCTGCGACGGCACTATCTGGTGTTGACATGTACCAGAACTTGCCACTGAGACGTACTGTCGGCATCTTTTCGCCCATGTATACGCTCAACCTGGCCGAACCCACGCTCAACTCTAGCCATAATTTCTCGTCGAGGTCTTTGCAATTTGTGTGATAATGGTAGCTGTTACTCAGGCGACTGAAGACGGAACGGCAGAATGCGCATAATTGGCTTGCACTTTTCTGCAAATCGGACAGGCTGTTATGCCATTTGACGAATGGTGAGGCTTCATTTCCGTGGTAGGAACCGGGAACCGGGAACCGCTGGAAATGGTCATTGACATCGCTATCGCCCCGGGCAAGTTTGAGAATGCTGCGGATGGGTAAGGCCTTGCAGGTGTCACAGAGTGACATTGCAGACTACATCAACATGACAATATGCAATGTGGGTGACGTAACGTTAATGTAGATTCCAGGGTGTTCAGCCGTTTCCCAGATGGATGTGGTCGGACGATGATGTCGCGACGAGCGTGGTATGAAGCAGGCGGTATGAAGCAGGCGGTATGAAGCAGGCGGTATGAAGCAGGCGGTATGAAGCAGGCGGCTGGTGCCTAGCCTCGCGGGACTTGGCCCGCATGAGATGACAGCGCAGTCAGTACGTGGGCACGGCTTCCCTTCATGGAGCTATGTGGTCATGTCTTGAGATTGGTGACTGCTCAGATGGGACGTTTGCTTTGATTCGAGCTCTAAAATACACGGTTGGGGCAGGCGCGAGGTAGGCCCATCAGATGAACACGCGAGGTGCTTGCTCCGATCGGAACCCAATTCCGAAGACAAGGCCGAGCCACGTGCGAACCTCCGCGCTCGCACATCCCTTGCTCCCTAATCATCACACTCACGCCACGACGTCCTACAATGAACGCAAGTCGTGCCTCCTCCACTAGCATCGCAATGCTCCTTCCAGCTATCGAAGCACTCTCGGTGGACGTTTTGCCCGCACGAGTTCTTACACCACACAAGGTCTTCCCTGCCCTCCAGCGCGTCTCCTTTCAGGGCGTGACAACAGATAGCGCAATCCCCTTCGATCTTTCGCCTGCGCACCTGAATGTTGTCACAAGCGTCGCAAACTGAACGCTCTTCCCACTCGCCGCGACAGACAGGGCACGTGAAGTCCCGGTAGTCGATTACGCATTGCTTACGCCAATCCTCGAAACAAGTCCTGTGAAGGCTCCTCCCGCAACTCGCCTTACACCACACAACCTCCGACCTGTCGTATTGGCAGAGAAGGTCGCCTTCTTGGCATATGGGGCATTCGTCATCGAAAGGCAGGCGGCGGGCATGCGGGCGCGTACACCGGGGTGTTGCTGTTGAGCGCACGGAGCGGGATGCCTCTGGTACAATCGGGCTCGATACCCCTCTCGAGGCTTCGCTGGATGTGTTGCTGGACGATATGCTGGACGATATGCTGGACGAAGGTTCGCTGCCGGTCGCCGTTGGTCTTCGCACGTTTTGTGCTAGCCTTCGCCCCAAAAGGGGCGGGTGCGGCACCATCGGGCTCGATGCCTCGCTCGACGAATCGCTGGACGAATCGCTAGACGGCGGTCGCGTGCCTGCAGTCGTTGGGCTTCTCACTCGACCCGGTGTCACGGTGAAAACAGGGCGAATCGGTGCAAAGCTCCTTCGGAAGCGCAGGTTGGAGAGGACATTCGGCGGCTGCGAAGACGACAAAGGCGGATCGCTTGATGTCGTTATACGAGACAGACGAGTTTCCAACTGCGCCATGCTTTGGTGTGCAGCTTGACGAGCCGTGAGCTCCTCGAGGCGGCGATTGGCATCACGAAGCGACTGTTGAAGCACATCGATGGCCTGTTGTGCTTCGGCACGTGCGGCAAGCTCGGATTCCGATGGCGCCACGACTGAGGCATTGTTATATGGCTGCGCTGTATGGGGGGCAGACGAAGACTTACCGTTCGCAGATCCAGGCTGCTGCCTCACCCGCTCCGACGTCGCGTCGACTCGTTCGCTTACTCTATCATGCCCAGGGAACGCCTCCCACATCCGCTTTATCCAACGGTCTAACATCTCGTCGACTTGATGCTGATGGAATCGAACACACAGACCGTGCTCAGCGAGGCACTGAAGTTTCGATCGCAGTCGCTCAGGGTTTGGGCTTTGGTTCGCCAAATCAGCCACCAGTATTTCAACCCTGTGTGTGTTGTCTTGACGTATAGGCATGCGACACTTTCGACCACGTGAGGGTGCCCATCCAACGCAGCGGCCGTCGAGGGAAAGCTTGAGCACCGCCTCTGGGTCCCATCGGCGGCCAGCGACGGTCCCGGAGTTGGATAGATCAAGAGGCATGCTTGGAAGAAGATGTCTTTTGGAAGTGTGAGGGACGAATTGTGCGATAAGTATCAAGGTAAAGTCGGGACGCTGTGGAGTTCCCAAGCTCGATGGTGTCGCCCAGGTCTAATTATACTCGCCAGCGCAGTCTTCCTTGACGCTCACGACATTTCTCGTGACACCACATACCTCCGCTTGAGGCTGCCAATTTTGGACGGCTATGGCTGTGTTCGACGCCTCTGAGACGAAGTAGCTGGCCAGGCTACATCCTCAAAGCTTCTCACTGGACGAATGCTAGGCGCAGTGTAGCATACCAGGTGCTCTGATGCGTAGGAGCGAGGCTGCGCGCTTGTCTTTTTCATGCGTCGTCTTCTGTCGAGCGTGGGGTAAGTTCTGAAGTAGTGTGGTAGCGAGGCTGTGCGGCACAGTCGATCCCAGCGGCTTCCTGGAACGGCTTCCGTTTCTGGTCGCAAAGCGACAACCGGCTACCGTTGGGCCAGAGCATCTGGAAAACGGAACATGAAGCGAAACACGCTCGAGCCTGGACGGTATTGCTGCGAAGATGCACTCTCCAAGAATGCGATACATTCACCCCACGACTACGGGGTGTTTGGCGAGCCCTCTCGCATCATGCGCCTTGCTTCCTTCATATCATCTGATATCTCGTGATCCCAAATCCAAGCCATCCTCGACTGCGCATTAATCCGCAGCGCTTCCAAATCGTCGCCGACGCCATCTCCTTCAAACTCCCACAGCATGCCGGCTTCCTTGCTCGTTTTGACCAGCTTCTGACTGCGCGGCCTTCTTACAGCATCGTATGCGTGGAATGCCGTCTCCAGGGTAGTCTTCGCATAACACTGCGACAACAGCTCGCTCAGAACGTACACATCTTCGATACACATACCCGCGCCGGCGCCCTGATGCGGTGTTGATGCATGAGCCGCGTCGCCCACCAGGCAGATGAGTGGCTTAGCGCTATAGTAGGTTAATGCAAAAGGGTGGTTGAATAGCGCCCAGATGTCGGGCTTCCGGACGTTCTCCATGATCTTGCGCACGGCGGGGATCCAGTCTTTGTAGTCCTCGAGCATGTCGTCGCGTGATGTTTTCACCACCCAATTCTCGTCTTCCCATGTTGGTCGCGAGGAGAAAGCGACGACTGGACATTGGTCAGCGTGATCGATGACTGGGCGGAGTTGTCGTACCGTTGAACAGCGTGCCGTTCGCGATGGGGAATGTCAATACGTGCCCATGATAGCCCATATACATCTGCGGCGTTCTGGGTGTCTCATTGCCCAGGATATCGACCGCCTCCGCCATTGGCAGCAACCCCCGATACGCATACTTGCCCGAGAACACCGCCTTTACTGCGTCTGAGTCGCCCAAGACGATAGATCGCACGCGACTTTTGATCCCGTCGCACCCAAGCACCGCACTGTGTTGCGCAGTAGACCCATCGGTAAAGTGCAAGACCGCATCGCCGCAGCCGTCTTCTGCTTCAGTAATCTCAAGTACCCTCTTCTTGAATAGCGCAACTCCTTCCGGTACCAGGTTCACCAACTCATCAAGGAAGTGAGCCCTGTGCACACCGCCTCCCGGTCCCTTCCTCCCGGGTATGATGAAGATCTCTTCTCCCAATTTGACATTCTTCTTTCTTTCGTCTCCCACGCGCACGTGGAACCAGTTGGGTGGGTCGGTGACAGTGTTGCCTTTGCTACATTTAACGAACGCGTCCGCGATGCGTGGATCGATGAGGGCCATTGTGCGAACCATAACCGGGGAGAAGCCGACACCGGCGCCTATCTCGCCAAAGGCTTCTGCGGACTCGTACAGCGTGATGTTGATGTGTGGGCATTTGGTGAGGATTGCGATAGTCAACGTGAGGCCAGCGATGCCGCCGCCGACGACTGCGATGCTCATGGAGTCTCGTTGAGCCATGACGGTGATGGGCTGGTGTGGTTCCAGATTTGACAGCGAAGAAGCACACAAGAAAACAGCTGCGATATAGTGACTGTGGTGAACGTCGCTGACAACATATTTTGCCCCTGATGCGAGCTACTCTCCACCTTCAAAATGATACTTCGAGGTACGACTGCAGCTGCTCGGTGGTAAGATGACCCACATCATATGTGGGGCACGCTCATGGTAAATCAGTGCAATGGAGACGCGGCACGGCGAAGCTTGCTTCGCGTTAACACTAGGGTATCGCTTGGTTAAAGACGGATGCGCTAACTACTTGTGCGGCAATGAAGGTGAGGAGAAAGGCAGATCAACAGTTGTGCTGCGGCATGCTTACCATCCAGTGGACTGCCGCTTACTACCGTTCATTACCAACACTAGACTTTGTCAGTATCGTAATAATGATATAAGGCATTCCCGTCGTTGCGCTTTCCCGAAGATGTATTTGCTCGGTGAAAGAGTACGTTCTGTATGCGCCGAAAGAGCCTGGAGCGCTGTTAGAGATTTGACGCGGGCCGCTACGGTGGGGTTGCCTCTTCCCCGCCGAAGGCGCCGTTGTGGATCTGAACTCTCATACCGAGCCCGCTAACTCATAATGTAACGGTTTACCGCACGACTAGCTTCGAAAGAAGCATCGCCACCGACGGCTTCATATAACGATAGGTTGTTGATCCATCGTTCGTATAACCAGGTCGCGAAGGATGCGGAGTTGGCTCAATTCCGCGCGATGGCCTACCCGCCCCATGTCGGACACTTCTTTCGTGTAATGCCCGCGCATACTCTCGCCTACCACAGCCAATCGCAAGCATCACGAAGTAGACGTTGTGAAGAAGCGCAAGATGTCCGTTGATCCTTCTCAACAAGACGCCGCACATCAGGCCATGACTGAAGGCTTCGCGGCTCGTAATCGAGGATGATGTGCTCTTCCTGAGGTTTTCCGGATAGTCAGGGCTCGGACAGAGTGAAAGCGCGACGCGGTGAGCGAATATATTGACCGGGCGTAATTCGAGTAGTCTTTCGTCTGGTCTGCAGTCACCCTTGACCCTGCCCGCATCGCATAACGAGCTGTGACTGATAGTCGACTTTGATCGGCTTCGCAGCAATAACGCCACCCCTCCTTCGTTCTTCATTACACTCGGTCGACATGGCAGACGCCAGCATTGTCGAGAAGGGAGTTCACGTCAACAACTCATCGGTTTCCCCAGCAGGGTCAACAAGCGAGCATGGCTTCGATCGCGCTGCGGAGAGGCGACTCATCCGGAAGCTCGACTTTCAGATCTTGCCAGTGCTGTGGATACTTTACTTGGTCAACTTCATCGACCGGTAAGTCTAGTTGAATGACCTTTGATCGTTGCGATGCCTTGCTAACTCGCCCCCAAGAGCCAACATAGGGAATGCAAAGATCCAGGGCATGGAGACAGAGTTGAACCTCATCGGCCAGAGGTTCAACATCGCCGTGTGGGTTTTTAACCTGGGTTACCTCGTCGCTGGCATCCCATTGCAAATCGCCTTCAAGAAGTATGGGCCCAAGAGTCTTTGCGTAATGATGTTCTGCTGGGGCATCACCGTGATCGGATGCGGACTCGTGAAGCGATGGGAGGAGCTCGTTGTCTGCCGTCTACTGGAAGGCATCGCCGAGTCGGCCTACATCTCGGGAGCGGCATACTTGATCGGCGCATACTACTCGAAGCGCGAATACTTGACGCGATACGTGTTCTTCTGCACTGCGGGTATTGTTGCGGGCGCGATCAACGGCTTCGTGTCCTCGCTGATTGCTAAGATGGACGGGACCGCGGGATTTGGAGCGTGGAGATGGTAGGCCAACTCTGGAGTCTTGCGACGAACAGCTGCTGACGTGAGGCAGGATCTTCATCATCGAGGGTTGTGTGACTATCTTCGTCAGTATAGCATGCTGGCCAGTCGTCCCGCCGTTCCCCGAGCACTGCAAGTTCTTGTCTCCCGATGAGAAGGCGTTAATGCTTGCTCGCATACAGGCTGATGGCGGCCATGTAGCCGACGACGAGATATCGTTCAAGAAGGCGTTGCATTTCCTCAGGGACTGGAAGATCTGGACCGGGTAAGTGGGATGCATGTTCTTGCCCATTACTAAACTGATCATGACCAGCGTTTTGATGAACATCGGGGTGACTGAGAACGCGAACTCTCTCGCGAACTTCCAACCTACCATCCTCAAGGGCCTCGGCTACACCGCCACGCAAGCGCAGGTCCACACAATACCTGTGTATCTTGTCGGCGCCGCCTTCTCCGTTATCTTCGCGTACATGAGCGAGTGGCTACAGCGCCGGTATCTGTTTTACGTCCTGGGATGGGCAGTTCTTGCGACAGGTCTCATCGTGGAGATTGTGCACCCGTCCAACCCGGCCGTGCGGTATTGCGGCATGTTTTTTATCGCCAGTGGATGCTATCTCGCGATGCCGATCTCGATTATCTGGGTCTCGATGAACTGCGGTTCTGGGTACAAGCGGGCCGTGGCTATTGCTGCAATTATCAACTTCGGTACCGCAGGGGCCTTCATCAGCTCCAACGTATTCTTGTTCAGAGAGGCGCCAAAATTCCGCACTGGGTTCAGTACGGGTCTCGGACTGGCTTGTATCGGTGTTGTTGCTGCGACGGTAACATTCTTTGGTTGCAAGAGGGAGAACAAAAAGCGCGATGAGGCAAGGTTGCAGATGCCAGAGGTTCTTGACCAGAGTACGAAGGCGCTGGGCGACGATCATCCTGACTTCCGCTTCGCGTTGTAGGCCGGACACGATGGTTTGGCGAGGCACCGTTGGCATGTAGAATCGGAATGAGACGACAATGGAAAGGCGCCGTTCGGTGAGCCGTAGAGCAGGCGACTCTTCATGGATTGAGACGTTCCGGAACCCTTTCCATTCAGTGACTGACGTTTCACCAAGAGGCTGCGAGCTGACGTTAGTTGACTTGAGATTAGCAAGAGATTCTATGACGCGGTCGCGTTACGTGAGGCACTACGACGCGCGCTGCCAGATGCTGTGATGACGCGCGCTGCGTACGTCGGTGATGATAGCATCGCTACATACTCACGACGATGAGCTTGCAATATAGATGGCCGCAATTGTCGTACAGTCGCTGGCTGACGAGATGATGGTGTTGAAGTGTCAATGGCGGTTGGGTGGTGTGGTGTGTACCTGAGAGATGGTGGCCAATCGGCGGTCCGACGCCAAGCAATTGCGGCGCGTCATCGCGGTGTTCACCACCACGGCTTCTTCACCACAACGACATCTGCAGCCTCATGAGTATCGACGTTGAGCCGTTATTAGTGCTGTAGTACGCAGACGCTTCTGCATCACCACAATGGCTGCAATCTGGTTCCTTCCTTCGCCTGGGCCCACGCGATATAACAAGCTTTTGCTAGCTGCAAAGAATCGGCATAAAAGCCGCGACACGATAGGCGCTTGCTTCGAGTTTTTGATTAAGTGCATGATAGGCGCACGTGCTGGGTAGCTTGTGAGTCGTGAAGGCGTCCGGAATCGGGACCTTATGCATCCGAAGCTATAGAAGGCGTCCGGACCCGGCCTCTGTGCATCCGACTTTCGACGTAAGCGCTAATGGATTCTCTACACAATAATATCAGGGCTACAAGGCTGGAAACTTCTATGTAACACCAAATCATTGGTGGATATACGTACCTGTGCGCAAGCATCTTCCAAGATGCAGACAATTGCCCCGAGGAGGGCCGTGTACGTTTTTGGTACGCTTGACGCTACAAGAACTTTGCTGACCCCGTGTTAGAAAGTTAAGCCACTACCTTCAATTTTCATGCCCTTGGTTCAACTTCCAGTGCATAGCAGATGCAAAAAATGGCCGAAGTAGCGACACTTTTCAACGATGATTGGGAGTTCCAACGCTCTGGACAAAGTGGCTGGAGCAAAGTACACCTTCCTCACGATGCTATGCAGGTAGAAGGGCGGCGGGAGGACGCCCTCGCTGGAACTCATGGCGGATTTTATCTTGGCGGAATGTACAAGTATCGCAAAACATGGCAAACGCCTACTACTCTGGAGTCCAAAGTGGTCGCTTTGAGCTTTGATGGTGTTTACCGGCACAGTCGCGTGCTGGTGAACGGCACAGAAGTCGGTGGTTGTCTGGCGGGCTGGACCAAGTTTGAGATTCGCGTAGACTCTTACCTGAAGCTCGGCGAGAGGAACACAATCGAAGTGCATGCCGACAACAACGAACAGCCTAACGCGCGCTGGTACACTGGAGCTGGAATTCATCGCAACGTTCATCTCATGGTTCGAAACCACAATCTGCTTTGCAAGGACGGAATCAGGCTAGCAACGCTCTCCGCCAGTGGAGTTGCTCTTCTCACATTCGAGGTTTTACTCAACAACGAAAAGAAGGATGACGTTGAAGTATCTCTCGAGCTTTCGAGAGGAGGAAGGAACGCGGTCCAGTGGAGAACAAAAACGACAACGTCTGAGCTGAGACAAAACTTCGAGATATTGAACCCAGATCTATGGTCGGCTGAGACTCCGAACCTCTACGACTGCACTGTCGTCATCAACGGCGATCTCTATAAGTTCAAGTACGGTCTGCGCACTCTGCAGTTGAAACCTGGTCATGGATTCCTGGTCAATGGCCAGGCTGTGAAGTTGCGTGGTGGTTGTATACACGCAGACAACGGTATCCTCGGCGCAGCGTCGTTCAAAGCTGCTGAACTGCGGCGCGTGTCGATCATGAAGAAGAATGGCTTCAACGCTATTCGTATGTCGCACCATCCATGCTCGGAAGTTCTTCTACAAGCATGTGATGAGGTAGGCATGTACGTCATGGATGAGTTTGCCGACTACTGGTACCAGGCAAAGTCTAAATATGACGATTCCAACACCTTCAACGAACGCTGGGAGTACGAAGTCGCTTCTCTTGTGGAACGAGCTCGTAACCACCCTTCAGTTATTATGTACTCATTGGGTAACGAGATCACTGAGCCAAAAACCGCCTACGGACACACGATCGCGAAGAAGCTCCTGGACCTCACGCACAAGCTGGATCCATCCCGACCTAACACTATAGCGGTCAACCTTACGCTGGCCCTGATGATGTTTTCGAAAATCCCGCCGGGGGATCCAAATACTCCTCCTGCAGATAACAAAGGCGGTCTGGGGGATTTGGTGTCTAGCAACTTCTTCAACATCATCGCCAGCATGTTCCTCTCATTCATGCGGTACATTCCAAAGTTCAATCACACCAATGTTGTGACCAGCAGACTCTATTCGTACATGGATGTTGCGGGCTACAATTATGGAGATATCCGGTACCAATCAGATGCCAAATTACATCCTTCAAGGATGATGCTCGGTACCGAAACCTGTCCACCTGATCTTCCTAGGAACTGGTCCAACGTTGAAAAGATTCCGAACCTAATAGGAGACTTCATGTGGACTGGATGGGACTACCTTGGCGAAGTAGGCATTGGTGTGCACGACTATGAGGCAAGCAGGTTTACCCCTATAAAATTGTACAAGCCATGGCCACATCTAGTAGGGGGTTGCGGCGCTTTGGACATCACTGGCGTGCCCAATGCTTCGGCTTTCGTAGCCCAAGCGTGCTGGAAACTTTTGTCTCAACCCGTAATTGCGGTACGTCCATTGGACGTCTCTGACTTGTATTACAAGGCGACACCCTGGCGAGATTCCGATGCGATCGAGGGCTGGGGCTGGAAGGGTTGTGAGGGCCAGAAGGCTTACATTGAGGTCATCACTCAGGAAGAGGAAACAGAACTCTTCCTTAATGGCCGCTCGCTTGGGCGCGCAAGTAGCAACCAAGCCAACAGATACACCGCTAGATTTTCGACAGCTTACGAGCCTGGCGAACTTCTTGCTGTTGCATACTCTGGCGGACAGGAGCGTTCGCGCTCCACGCTCCGCTCCGCTGACGTTGCTTCAGTTAAGATTGTCAACGAGAAGTCTGGTGAACTTGTCGCAGACAGACAAGACCTAGCGTACCTGGAACTTCAACTCGCTGATCAGGAGGGAAACATCGAGATGAACGACGACGATACCCTTACCGTCGAGGTACATGGAGATGCCACTCTGGCAGCGCTTGGGTCTGCGTACTATAAGAATCTGGATTCCTTCAACGGCAATGTTCATAGAACATGGCGAGGGCGAGCCTTAGCAGTGATACGTTCCGGCAGTAGGTCTGGAGACGTTGTCGTTACTGTCAGCAGCGTAAGGCATGGATCTTCGTCGATTACAATAAAGCAGAGAGCTTAAGAGTCGCAATAGCTACCTTGATAACACTTTTACGAGGACGATGACCACTTTGTCGACTTCCAAAGGCCTGATGTCGGTAGTTTCATCAACGTGCATGGGATAGTAGCCGCCAGCATGAAGTATGGGTTCCTTGCGATGCAGTTTCCAGCAGTCGCACAAAATTTCCACGTGCATGCTTCACTCTGGGCCATATGGGTATACCATGTGCTTTCTGGTAGTATCGTAGAGAACTAACGGCATAAATCGCTGTGCTCTGCCGCATGCAACCGTCAAGTCGTCATGTATCTTTTCAGATAGTAGTGGCGCCTAGTTAAGAGAAACCTTAGAGGACAAATTAATACTTATTTAATAGTATTTTAATTAACTAACTACACTATACTAATATTTTTTTACTTATTTCTAGCGTAATATACGCTATTTACCTATTTCTACGCTTATAACTTAAGTATACTAACGTAGTACTCTAGCTATCTAAGCCTTATTTCTTTCTTTAAATAGTTTCTTTATAAAGTCTATATTTCTCTTACTTATAATTTCTTTTATACTCTATTTCTATTAAAACTTAGTAAGAGTAATAATCTAATACTTAATAACTTTCTCTAATATACTCTCTCTATTATTACTTTAGTAGAAGTAGAAAATCTACTTAAGAATAAGCTAGCTAGTTTATAAGATAACGTAGGCTTCTTTAATATTAACTTAAGCTATAACTTTATTAGTACTTATACTTTATTTAATACTAGTAATATTTTTTATAAACTCTTAGACTAAGTTACTACTAATATTATAGCTATAGAGCTCTTTAATCTTATACTATAGCTATAAAGAAAGTAATTTATTATTAAAAAGAAAAGTAGAAGTAGATAATAAGTTAAAGTTATTAAAAATTTAATCTAAAAGAAAAGCCTTATAGCTGTTAAAGCGTATAGATATCTATTTAGTTAGTAATGTATAGTAGTAGTAGAGATAGAGAAGTACTTACTAATATAGTAGGTAAAGTAGGTATTAGAGAATAGAAGAATACCTTTATAAAACTTTTATTTATTACGCTTAGTATGCGCACCTAAGCGCTCTTAGTACTAAACACTTTATACTTAATAAACGCCTATAAATAGGCGTTACATTAATAGATTGCAGTACTAAAGTAATCTTTAGCAAAAAAATTAAAAATATTAAAATATTAGCTTAAAGGCTTAGCGCGCTAAGCCTCTATAAAATTTATAATCTAACTAATCGCGAGCAGGCTGCAGGGGCTCTGCACCTTATACTTATCTATATATATATATATACTGTTGCTTGCAACACAAACTTAATAAATTTAAAATACGTATCTTTTCGGATTAGATAGCCCTCATGCCATCGTCAATCTCCGTGTCATAATGCTCCTCTGCGATCTCGTTTGAAAGGAGGTGGTTGCTCATTGCGATGGTCCTCGAATCACCGTCCAATGTTACTGATGAATCTTTCCAGCAGTATCGTGAAGTCACGAATCCTCCGCGCGAAGATCAACGCTAATCTCGAAATGCCTACTAGCGGCTTGGTCGCTTACTACGTCACAGATCCCACGTGTCACCCCGCCTCCAGCTTATCAATCACTGCTATTCCAGCCGGACCGACTCCGCACCACGAGCACCAGTATGTCCACGTCGAAACCGTTCCCAGCGCTAAGTGGCGGCTGCGTCTGCAATACCATCCGCTACAGGCTCCTTACAGCCCCGCTCTACTGTTACGCCTGCCACTGCATGGACTGCCAAAAGCAGACCGGCAGCGCCTTCTACCTGAGTCTGAACATCGAACTCTACAACATCCAGATACTGTCTCCGACGAAGCCTTCGTTCCTGAGCCGAGAGGTCAAACCGGGCCTTGTCGATCGGTATGCCGAGTGTCCGCAATGTCATGTCCAGCTTTGGGCTAGTAACCACCTGGGTGATGCAGTCGTTGAGCTGAGAGTTGGCACACTGGACTTTCCGTCGCTCATGGAGCCGGATATACATATTCACGTGGAGAGTAAGCTGGACTGGGTGACTTTGCCGGAGGGCGCGAAGACGGCGCAAAGAGGCCATGATTACAAGAAGTCGTGGCCGAAGAGTAGTCTAAAGAGGTTAGATATCTGTCTGAAGAGAGCGGAAGAGGTGAAGAAGAGGAGGGCCGCTGCGATAAAGGAGGGTGCCTATGCAACGATTGGAGATGAGGAGAACAAGGAGGGTGTCGTGGCGATCGAGGGAAGTGGAGAGGGTGACAAGACGCCAACCGCGGGGGATGTTGGGGGCGACGAAGATGATGAGGCTGAGGAGCAGAGATTCAGGGAGACTGAGAAGGCGTTGCTGGAGCGGTTGGAGCGGTTGAGTCTGAAACTGCAGAATGAAGAAGGCACAAAGAAGGTGGTGGAGACGTGTCTAGAGGACTCGAAGAAGAGCCCATAACATGGTGCAGAAGATCTCAAGAGCTTCGAGAAAAGCGCGCATCCCTCTACTCTTCACTCTATCTCAGGTCTGGTCGATAGATCCACTGTATCACCTTTGCAGGTCTAAATGAAAGGTTACGATGTGTGCGCCTGCCTTCAGGTTGTGCAGCACGTGCGCTTACGTCATGGTACTACCGTGTATCAGCCCTGTGAATCGTCGCACGCCCACCAACACTAATTTTCGCCTTTTTGTCCTTTCCTACTGCACCTCCACCATGGCGCTTGCGATCCTTTGCGCTCTACTCACGCTTCTCGCCACACTCACTTGCGCGTCTGCCAACGACCGTCAAGCAGGACGCCAAGCTGCACTTGGAAAGGAGACGAGGATAGCCATCATCGGTGCAGGAATCAGTGGCGCTAGCACAGCGTATCATCTACGGGAGAATGCCTCTTTGGACCAACCACTCTCGATCGCGATCTTCGACTCTAGCGCAAGCATCGGCAGACGGGTCGCTTCATTCGTAGTACCGGATACTCAAAATAAGACGATCCTTGAAACAGGCATTACGAGCTTCTTTGCCGACGATGAATGCATTGAACGAACTGCTAAGGACTTGGGGCTGGCTCTCGACGACGGGTCTGGCTACTGGCCTCTAGGACAGCATCGAGAGCCCACAAGAACAGGTGTCTGGGATGGAACAACAATCACCGGTAGACCATTACTTATCCAGCGACTAAGGGAATGGCTGGACAAGTGCGGTCTTCTTTGGCTGATGGAACCGGTTGTTTGGTCCCATCACATGTCCATATGGGATACGTTACGACTGCTTCACTGGAGTAATTGGTGTCTAGATCCTGGAGTGCAGGCTTCGTGCGAACTCGCATCACCGTCGCTTTGGAGGCAGATGCAATTGCGATATGAGTACGGCAGATCACCCGAGCTCTTCCGACAAGCCTTACATACCACCAACAAGAAACTTCAGTATTTTGGAAATCAGGGCGGTTATCGCAATGTCGCTGTCGAGCTCGAAAGGGTCGGCCTGGAGGGCCGCATCGCGAAAACGTCAGCTGTACAGTATCTTACAGATATTGGTGTCAGTAAGGCGTTCCAATCCGAGGTCGTCGAGCCCTGCGTACGTGCGCGTTTTTCTCTTGACCTGACGCAGGTTCGAGCGATAGGTGCATTCATGGCTTGCAAGGAGTCAAAAGAAATGTTTATAGAAGGTGGCAACGTCCAACTTGTAGAAGCAATGGTCAATACTTCGCTAGCGGACGTGCAGCTGCGAAGCGAGGTAGTTGGCATCGAACAGGGCCAGGATCGACGCTACAAGCTCTCTATCGGGAATGCATCCGGTTTCGCGTCACATCAATATCGAGAATTCGATATAGTCGTCTTGACAGGGCCGGTACACGGCAGTCCCATCCTAGGTAGCCTCGCAAAGCTGAGCCCGCTGCCGGAGAATCTCCTGTCGCCACAAAAGCACATCGCAACACATGTCACCTACTTTGCTACTGAGCACGGCTTAAAACCACAGTATCTTAACCTATCTGCTGACATCGAAGTCCCCGACCGCCTGCTGACGACATCTGCCGAACTTAATCTGATGTCTTTCTCCAAGTGGGATTGGATGGGTTATTACTGGGAAGACCGACTTCGGCGCAAGAAGCCCTGGATACCACGGAGCGACCCGGAAGAGTACGAGTGTGCGAACGGCAGGTTTCATTACGAGAAGCTGTATCGTGTCGTGACTCGCCGATACGCCTCGAACCGCGAGCTTGCTACCATGGTCGGGAAGAGCTGGGAAGATGGGCAAGATGCTACGGATGTCGGTATTAGCTGGGTGCATCGACAAGAATGGGGCAAAGCTGTGCCAAACTTTGAAGTGAACGGGAATCTATCAGGAGACATCGAGATGATGGAAGGTCTTTACTGGGTAGATGATGTGGATGAGATCATGTCGTTGCTGGAAATGAGTTGCAAAATGGGGAGAAATGTGGCTTCAAACATTCTAAACACTCAAGACCGAGACACGCCCAGGCGCGTGCATAGCGAGCTGTAGTTGCAATAGGTCGAACCACGTGTTGATATTGCGAACACATCGCATCATAGGTGTTACAAATGTGTACTGGAGAGATGCTTTACAGGCTACATAAATCTTCGCAACACCTTTGGCTCCCTCCCGAAGGCGCTGTAGTCCTGAGAAGTACTTCAACTACGTGAGCACAGACAGTTACAACGCTTCGTCTGCCCCGCTCTTGGGGTGGCGCAGTGAGATGGCGAAGTGAAAGTGTATGCAAGAGCCCAAGAGGGGAACAACGCACGGCTTATGCCCTCAGTGTATGTACCTAACTTCTCCTCTACCTTCCTCGATCCTCAACACTCCGACAAACGGAAACGCCAGTCGCAACATACCCCGACAATTGTTTGCGAACATGTACCGCGCTAAGAGCCTGGTGTTCTTCTTCCTCTGCCTCCTGACGTCTCTCATTCGGCTATGTAGTGGTCAGAATGTAGTTATTGAGACAACTCCGATCTTCAAGGGCTCAAATTGCGATGCTGGTCAAGAGCGTATCATCCGTCAAGCGTGGTTAGACGGTGTACTTCTTGCCAATGCGGCCTTTGACAGCAGCGATGAACTGCTTTCGACTACTACTCGCGGTAACAACAAGATTATAAACTTTGACGCCCAAGCAGCCATCGAATACTGGGGCCCACCGAGCAAGAATCTTGGATATCGACAGCGAATCTACGATACCTTTTACCGCGCCACTCAAGCGGGATGGGGTCGTGGCTGGGCCGACTGGTGGTACGAGCGCTATATCAAAATGCACTGCGATGACCCGAAGAAACAGTGCGACGATTCCTCTTCTGCTTACTACATGCCCTCGACAGAGGGAAGCTGGACGTACCATGGTATCAACTTTTGTCCTGGCTTTTTCTCCATCCTCAAGGACCACGCGGAACTGGAGAAGGATATCTTCGCAGACGCAACCGGCCAAAAGAAGCTCAATACGAGAAACATGCGAAGCCGGGGTAAGCTATACCCTCGAATCCTCATCAGTTCTCGCTCGCTAATTATCAAACATAGCCTGTACTGTTCTTCATGAATTGTTGCATGTTTATGACGCCAAGACGGAAATCTGTCAAGGCGGATGTGAGTGTCGCCGCGTATAGTCATCACTGCCATGTACGACTAACAAAATCAAGGCGATGATACTGAACAAATGATCGCCGACAAAGACCCAGTCAAGACGTACAAGTCCGGCCGCACCAAACTTCTGGCGGCGAGGGACGTTCAGGCCGCGGCCAAGACCAACGAGAACTACGTTTATTTCGCCGTCGCGCGGTACATGCAGAAGACGTTCGGCACCTATCCTCCGTATCCACGTATGTGGAGTGCGACGAAAACGCAAGCAGAGAACGAGGCGCTCGAGGACTTTGAACCGGGCGCGCCAAGCCGTCATAATACAGCGTTGGAGATGGAAGATGCCGACCCCAGCCGCGGCACCGGTGAAGCAGTTTCAGATAGGCTTTACGACATGGCGATCTACCCAGAGTGGTACCAGCCTATTGTGCGGCAAGCGATCACCGAGCCTGACTTCGGTAGACTTGCCTTCTCCCACCCCAATATAGACGACGTTGTTTGCCAGACCACGAGCGATTCCGCGCAGTACGATGATTGCGTAGCCGCCTTTGCGACGCTGGAGGGTCTCGATCGGAACAAGGTTCAGCTGGTTCACAAGAGGCCCGGCGAGAGGTGGTGGGCGAATGTGGTTACAACGTGTGCGGTCCAAGTCCACTACAAGGGCGATTGGTCAAAGTGCGAGGCTTCGCTGTCGGATATATGGGCTCACGCTAAGGACGTCTTTGAGGGGTGCCATGGCGAGTACGGGACGGTGGGTGGCTATGTTCCTTTCGGTGTGCCGAATTGCCCTGCGACGATTGATCTCGTATCTAGTCGTCAGTGGCGCAACCCCGATCCGTTCTAAATATCATCAAGCGGGTGTAGATGACAATGTAAATCTTCAGGGCGTCACCTCCTATGCGCAGTCGTAAATCGAGAAAGAGGATGTCGCACCAGATGATGCCGACACATTTCACGCAGGTAGTGTTAATGTGATGTCTGGACGATGAGGTATGAGGCCGCCTCACATCAAAGGGGCCGCGCTTCCCCGCTTCTGGTGTTAGCGCCGAGAGCACCCTGCGGCTGCTGGCACCAACGACGCCTTCCCTTCTTCACTCTCTCCACCTCCGACGCGGCTCCAAGACGAGACGGCTCACGCGTAGCCTCGATCATCACGCCAGAATGTCATCTTACTCTGATTGTACCGATAGTCGAATGTCACACGTGCCGACACAACAACGCGCACAATATCGACGCGATCTTTCACAGTACGCACGCTCGTGGCGTTCGCATGCCGTGTGATGCCGTCGCAACGAATCAAACGCCTACAATCGCGCCAGCCGTATCATGGATGTAGATGACGGTAACTACTGGCGTGTGCAAGCCAATCACCCTGCCGCTGACTCCATGAACACTACGGTTCTACATCTCGCGTGGCGAGAATCCTCCGCGGACTGTCACTAGGCTCATTCGCTGCCTTGCTGCATGTAGACGTATTCGAGTAAGCGCTTCACCGGTAAGGCAGGTGGCATGACCTTCGCGTTTGCCTGTACAACTAATGGCGGCGGCATCACGTCTTGCACTTCACGGACGCATTGTTGAACTTTCCCGATTTGCCAACTAATTGTCGCCGACCTACTCTAGCTGCCGAAGATTGAGGCTTTCCTGACTGATTCAACGAGCGGCTTTGTATCGGAACCGACGATCAGGCTGTCAAGATGAGCGACCCACCTTCGGACGCAACACCGCCAACCTACGTGAACCACCCGTTATGGAGTCGCTTCTTGCGCTGGTCCACAATACGACCCAAGAACAAAGGCTTGACCCGCACCAATAGTCTTGTCGCTGCTGCGTACAACGCCGGCGAAGAAGAGAGGCTGAGCTCACTCCGAGAACATCAGTACATTCCGTTACCAGACCCACTCAGCTTCATCAGACTCGCCACGATCTTGCCTGGAGAGTTCGACGATGAAATCCGGATCCGGCTTGATCACCATGTCTTGAAGCCTCCGTCTAGAGCTAAACCTGCACGGCTGACGCTGGCCGAGATTAGAGAGAACATGCCCCAAGGCTGGGAAGCGTTCCAGACGGTAAGTCAAAGCAGGTTCTTGGTTCTTCGATTGCCACAGTCCGGCATCTGAGAAGGAGACATTGAAGACAGCGGATCCTTTTCAATCCTATTGGCTCCAACAGAGTGACAGATCACCGAACACAAATACTTCTTCCGGAACGTAGAGACGGGCGATGTACAATGGAATCATCCGGACCCAGACTTCCATATCGAGCAATACAGATCGATACCCGAGAGTGATGGAGTGGTACCAAAGTATGAGACAGTATCATATGTTGTACGTACAATTCTACTATTGCAAGTTCCGCTGGAGCAATGCGACTGACGCATCTGGCCGCAGTGGGGAGATTCTACTAAGAGCGAGATTATCACCGTCGAAGGTCCGAATGGGCCCGCGAAACTGTACGTGACGAAGAGCTTGACCACGGTGGTCCGATTCCTACGCTACCCTGGCCAAACGAGAACACTATGGATCGATGCAATCTGCCTCAACCAAAGTGATAACGATGAGTTGAACAAGCAGGTGCCACGAATGCACGATATATACAGGTTGGCCTGGATGAGCACGCTGTGGTTAGGAACCGAAGATGCCAGCAGCACCCTGGCGCTGCGCACGTTCCGCTACCTGGGCAATCAGATCGTTGCCGAAGCGGACACTGGCCTGCTGTTCAGTGCTCCCGGCGCCGAAGAGAAGGACTGGTACGACCCTGACTTTGAGCTGCCTTACACACCTGAGACATGGGATAGCATACAAACTCTGCTCCAGCGTCCATGGTTTCATCGACTGTGGGTTGTACAGGAGATCCGCCCGACTGCTGTGGTTCAGTGCGGGTACGAGCGGGTACCGGTCGCTCCGTTTACTGAAGCAGTCTACTGCCTATATTCGAAAGCAACTGTGCCAGATGGCCTTCGAGAACGTCTCGAACAGGCTACAGGTACCATGGCGCGGCTACCAGCCCTATGCTTCACACGACTACTCTACCGCGCAGCCACCTTCAAGGCATGTACCGACCCCAGGGATAAGATCTATGGACTGCTTGGTCTTGCTCCACACAAGGTCGCGGCAAGCATCAAAGTCGAGTACGACGACAACAACACCGGGGCAGACGTGTATGCAATGACAGTACTCAACCACGCCGGGATATCGCAGCGACTGGAGCATTTCCACAATTGCTCTCATAATGGACAGGTCACCGCTGATGCGCCGACATGGGTACCCGACTGGGCGTCAGACATCCCCGGCGAGACCTACATACCTGCTCAGTTCGTGGCTACCAGCTCGAGGGCGCATTATACGGTGACCAATGCGGAGAACACCCAGCCAGGAAATAAGTCAAGACCGGAAGTCCTTCGGATATGTGGAGTGCGGTGCGCAGAGATAAGCCAGGTAAGCACGCCTTTGCCAGCGTGGCTCGATAGGCGGGAAGCGATCCGTCGCGTTAGGGAGTGGCAGCCGGACGATTTAGTTACTACATACCGACCCATGAACGAATCGATGAGGAAGGCCTATGCCCTCACACTCAACTGCAGCATCACGAAAGAGCGCGAGCCAGATTGGATACTCAGCTCGACGAATGCTTGGGTCGACCAGGACTTCGGGGATCAAGCACTCTTTGGTCAGAGCGTGACGGAGTTGCCACGCTCCGCAATCAGAAGTGATGTCTCCGACGCTCTTCAATGTTGCGCCGATCGCCTCTTCTTCCGTACCAAAGAAGGATACATTGGCCTTGCACCGTCAGATACCCGGGTCGGCGACATCATCGCGATCTTGCTCGGCTGCTCTACACCTCTGGCGTTGCGACCGAGCTCCCGCGATCCCGACCACTACACCGTAGTTGGTGAATGCTTCGTATACGGTTTACAAGATGGTAACATGCTCCTCGGCTCATTACCCCCACCGTGGGTCGGCATGGCAGCCTGGGCCGAAGGCGATCGCCGCGTTTTGAGGTTTCTGAACACCGATAGTCAGCAAGTGAGCATCGAAGACCCGCGATTGTCTGGCGATGATCTTGAGGGTTGGGAGAGGACGGCCAAGTTGGTGGATGGTGACGACCCTACGAACTACGACTTCTTTCGGAACAAGGAAACGGGTGAGCTGATCAATTACGATCCGAGGCTTGAACCGGAGAAGCTGGAGAAGAGGGGTGTGAAGCTGGAGTGGTTCTCATTGGTATGACCTCAAGGCGGGGGTATTGTCCTAGCCAGCACGACGGTGAACAGGTCACTAATCTCTTCATAATCATCCGTGTCATCGACTCGCTAATGAAGTCGAGCTGAGCGATTGTTATGAGACTAACAAACCGCTGAGATTGAACTATATGAGTCTTTGATACTTCTCTTTCTTTCCCAGGAAGTGCTGCGAATACCTTCCGCGCGACCTCTGTGTCACGATCCAAGATCAAGGTACGGGCACAATACACGGTGCAAGCACAGCGACTTTCTATCCGTCCAGGAAGCTCACGAAATATAACGGCCACATCTTACCGTTCTGCCTTTTCTCCGCGAGGCATCTTAGCGGGCAGACGCAAAAGTGAAGGTGAAGGCGGATTATCGTCGCAGTCACTAGTGGGAACGCTAGCATTTGTATAATAATCCAACTCAACACTTACTTCCTCTCCGTCCTCCTTCCCCCGCGCTTGCAAGCGCCTTCGTGAGAACATGGCTTCAGGTATCGACTATCAGCGCGACTATGCCTTCAGCTACGCCCTCTACGGTGTTCGATCACCACCCAAGGAAGATCATGTCTTGCTCCGAGTTCAGCATTGGAGCTCATCGGCAGACCGGACAGGACGCAAAGTCGGCACTGCCGCGGATACATCACAGGAAGAAGAGAACATCGTTTCTGCTGACCACGAGGAAGTCCTGGGTCTCTGGGTCGGGCTCCGACCAGCCAGAGGTGGTGTCCTACGCCAACACAACCCTGAGCCCGTCGGCGACGATACCGAGACACAGACGGCTCTTGCCGAGATCAAGGACAAGATCAAGAAGACTAAGAACACGACACCCAGATCAGTCGACTCCCTTTCAGAGTTGGGCGCTCTTCCAATCTGGCCGTTAGAGGCTGACATGACGAGAGTGGTCGTCAAATACAACCCCAATCGTGCCGACAAGATAACGTACTTTGAGCTGGTCAATCGCGACCCAGTAACAAAGGTAAGCTCATAGTCCACTAATGCACCGTCTAAACTGACACTTCTAGCTATGCGTAGCACGAACCGTGACGGCTGCCGATTGCTTCTTCTTTCATGCGTACCGAGATGACTCCGCGTCCACTTACCGTGATCGATCAAAAGGCTGGGGACACGTCATCAGAGACCACATCACCAAGGGCACCAACATCCCGTTAGATATCACCGCCATGATCAACCGCTTTGCCGTCGCGGCAGAGGAGTGGATGCTGGACAAAGTTGCAAAGGCTATCGCAAAGGCAAACGAAGAGCCTGGAACTTTGTCCATGCCGCAGGTTTTCGCTATCTACCGCCTCTTGGACCTCAATGCCACATTCGAAGCCAAAGATGCGCAAGAGGCTCACATATGGATGACGGTACGTTTTGGAAGTTCTGCACGGTGCAACCGTTGCTAACGTGCGCAGGACGAGTTCCCAAACCTGATGAAGACCGCCACCCTCACACCAGAGAACTTGCTGAAGTACGCCGCATACTCGCGCAAGAAACGGGTCCACGAATCATTCAGCACTCTACGGATGGATCTTGGCACATACCTGCTCCACTATGCATCTCATTCGGGGAATCTGCCGACTGCCGACGACGACGACTCACAAGAAGAGTGGATGAGCAATGCGCGCCTCTTCTACAGCGAAGATGCCCAGCCATTGCCCCTAGAGTTCGAGGAAGCGCCTACAGACCTATGCCCATGGCTGAGCAACCATCTCGGGTTGGTAGACTTCATGGTCGATGCGCATAGCACCCTTGGGATGCCACTCATACGACGTTATGGCGCTGCCGCGTATGACTACGTGGGCCAGCTCAGTGGAGAGGTTGAAACCCTGGTTCGCGATGAGGCTGCGAAACAAATCGTTATACAAGCGGTGGAGTATGCTGTAAGGAGGATTAGCACGAAGTGCAACGGGGTCGTCGCGAAGATGGAGCCGTACATGGAGGAGCTGAAGTCGGCTATCAAGAATCTTGTGGAGGAGCAGACGGACGAGGAGGACATGATGGAAGAGGACTAGGTTAGCATTGCACGGTGCATTCAGCCCCTTCTTGCTACGATGCTTTCTAGCAAATAGCCGCGCAGAGAGGTGACACATTACTTGGAGCTTACTGCAATCCATTTCCAAAAGTTACCATTTTCTTCAACTTTGGCGTGATCCCAGATGACTACATCCTTACGGTCGCCGATGCAAACACCGTTGCCAGGCTCTTTAGAGTCGACAATGCGACCCTGGACTTCCTGAAGAATATGATGAGGTGAAGTGACATATACATGTTTACAGTCATATGGATCGCAGCAGCGACACATGATTCGCATGTGCGTGAACACACGCATTTCACCAAGTGGAGGAGTGCGAGCACACACAAATACATGTACAAGATACTTTGTTACATACTATACACGCATCCTACACGGTCGCCCTCTTAAAAGCATCCCGCGGTATCGACATGGCAATCCCACTCTTGAGTGCCGGGCTATCAAACGAGCTCTTCAACCCATCCTTCTCCTCCAGATACTCGCCCTCCCTCAGATTTAGCGTATCCATAATTCTTCCAACCTCATTCTGCTTCTCAACCTCGTACTCCTCGGCAGAAAGCATCAGCGTCTCGCCGCGCGCCTTGTTGATCTCCAGAGGCTCGTGCTCGATGGCTGCTGGCCATTTACCGGCTGCATAGAGGGCGTCTTGAATGTCGGCCCACCGCACGCTCACACCTTCGAGTGTGTAGGGCTTGACGGGCGGTGTCTTGAGAGCTTTGGGCAGGACGGAGCGGGCGATGTAGTGGTTGCCGTTTTTAAGCTGGGCCTTTGCTTCGAAAGCCTGCTCGAGGGTGGTGATTTCAGCGCGGTGACCTGCGAGAATCTCACGATCCAGCTCAAGGTCTGCCTCGGAACATGTAGGATCGGGGTTGTCGAGCGCCTCCTGCAGGCTGCGGGCCTGAAGTTTCAGTTCATACAACTTCGTCTCAGCACCGAGCTCGTTGGCTGGCGCGGCTCGCTTGGTGAGATCTTCTTGTAGGTTCTTGAACTGCTCCGCTTTTCGCAGAGCGTACTGCAGCTTACCCAGGCGGGTCTCGAGGCTCTCCTTGGCAGCCTTTATGCTCTTCTGATCGGCCTCGTTCTGGTGGTGCTTCATCTTCAGCTTGTGGTCCATGGACCGTATTTGGCCCTGCAGCCACTTGACATTATCAGTAGGCTTCGCCTTGGCCAGCCCCGCATTCGCCAGGGCGTCAATCTGCTCCCACCGCTTGTCGAGGAAAGTCGATACTTTCTTCTCCTGCTCTGCCTGCTCTTCCGCCGTCTTGGCTCCATGCGCCTCTTGTATCCGCAGCACTTCCGCCAAGTCCGCGCTGGTGTTGGCGCGCTGGTCCATGATCTTCTTGACCCTCGTCTTCTTGTCCATGCGCTTGAACTCTGGATTCGTCTTGTCCCAGGCAATCTCGTGCAGCCTGCGGAACTCGCGTAGCTTGCGGAAAGCATTCTGGCCTTGGCTGGGGGTAGGGAAGGTGAGGACGCAGTGGGGTACCCATTCGTCTGGACGTAGGGCGGGTGGCTTCGAGTGCTTGCCAATGAAGGGAAGTTGTTCCAGGTGGTGGTTCTACAACGTCAGCAAACCAATTGGTAAACCATGGATTCTTCATACATCTAGGAGTTCCTGCAGCGAGTAGATGATTTGATTCGACTTGGTGTTGCGGAAAATGTAGATGATCTCGCCGTGCTTGGCAGTGCCTTCCGGGTCTACCACGTCACGAAGAGTGTAGGGTTTTACCGGCGAGATCACATGCTGGGCTGTCGCTTGTCGTCTCGCTTTTTCGTTTACGACAGTCTGAATGCGGAGGTGCTGCGGATTTGACTGCCTTTCAACATATGCAGCGATCTGCTTTTGCATATGCGCGACATGCTGAGGGGTGACACGGCTGGCGGCGGTGGGACTGGCGAGGGAGATGGGCTGTAGTGGCGGCTTGTACCGCAGCCGGGCAAGAGATCGAGGCATCGCGGCGGGGTGGTGATGCCAATGGCCGGCGATGGTGGTGGATGAAAGTTGCGAGTCTCAAAAAGCACGGGCCAGGCCGCGGAGGTCCGCTTGATCCAATACGACAACTGGGAACTCCAAACACGCGTTCACCCAGCAAGCTTTACTGCGCTTTACTATGCGCTGCGTCATTGCGATTGCTGGCGCGATTGATCTAACTTATAGCAATGTCTCAATGATACGTTTCTTTGGCATATCTCGTCCCCGCCCCTGCCTACCAACCAGATCAGCGACGTAATGGCCGGCGAGTCCCAGGCAGCCGAGCCCAAGTCTCCACCACGTGAGCGCCCGTGGCTGCTTGCATATGTATGCGCGTCGAGGATACAAGGGTTGTAGTCGCTGATAGTCTGCCAGAACCGCAAGCTCAGACACCTCCAAGGCATCACCATCCGCAACCTCACGCTCAGCTTATCTCCCCCAAAGTCGCGCGGGCGGACCATCGACGATGAAGCTATACCGAGTACGCTCAAGTCGCCCACCAAGGCGCTGGCTCTGAGAGAGAGCAGGGGCCTGGCGCATTCGCGATCTTCGAGCGACCTCACCTCTCCCGAGGACACGCGGCGCAGCAATGGCGGCTTGCGCGAACCTACCCCGAATACGGCGACCAGACCCGGATATGGAAGGGGACTGCGACGGCGCTCGACTATGGAGTGGACCAATGCGACCCCGCTGTTCCGCCAGAAGAAGTTGGAAGACATTACCGCAGGGCGCATGGCGGATACCTTCTTCAGTCTGCATGTGGAGGACCAGGACGACCCGGTATACATCTCCGAGGTCGCGGAGAAGGCGATGAATCCAAACTTCAAGTTTTTCGATCTTGGACCCTGTGGCCCTGGAGTTACGCGACTCGACAAACTTACTGTGAGGGTGTGGGCGAAGAGCGAGACGATGCAGGACTGGCAGTATCTCATGGACTACACGGTACAATTCAGGTCGCTGCAGTTCATAGGCAGGACGCTTGGAAGCTTCAGACACCCACTCCCGCAGAATTGCATACTCTTCCACATGACGGACGGAATCTACACCAGCTTTACGGATCTGCCGGTAGAGGAGCGCATGCGCCCTGAGCTCCTTGCACCACCGAAGAACAACCCAGACGGGAAGGCCCTGACTTCTTCGTCATACGATGCGCTGATGCGACTTTCAACCCTAGACGACTGCATTCAGGATGCGCTGACTACGCGGGATCGGATCGCCGACGAGATTGAGGGCATACTTGCGGCGAACAAGGAGGATATCTGCACGGTCGAGGCAGTCCCCGAGACGGAGGAAAGTCTGCGCACCGTTCAGACTGCGGTGACTGCTGAGAAGCGAAGGGTGGTGGCTGCGAGGAGGAGGCGGGACGAGCTTCAAGCCAACATCAAATATCGACGAGAGAAGATGCAGGCCGGACGAGAACTGCAAACACAAGCCGAGTCTGCGCTGACTGGAGAGAGAGCAAAGTGCACCGAGAGCAAAGAACTTATAGAGAAAGCTGCTGAGGACATTACTGGCCAACGTCGAAGAGTGTGCGAGGATCTTCTCAGGATATTCCCCATCGAGCCTGTTCAGGGCAAAGCGCTCGCATTCACGATACGCGGCCTTCTCTTACCCAACTCCAATTTCGACGAGGTAAATCCAGACGTGACCTCGGCAGCGTTAGGTTACGTGGCGCAAGTCGTCAACTCACTTTCGCCCTATCTCTCCGTCATACTACCGTATCCAATATCGCCCCACGGCTCGACATCGACCATTGACGACCCACTCGCCGTTACGCAGGCCAACCAGAATCCCCAGCGCACTTACCCTCTCTACATGAAGAATGTTGTCAGGTATCGCTTCGAGTACGGCGTCTTCCTCCTCAACAAGAACATCGAAATACTTTCCAACTCCCTCGGCCTGCGCCCCGTCGACATCCGCCACACATTACCAAATCTGAAGTACCTACTTTACGTTGCCACTGCCGGGAAAGGCGAGCTTCCGGCGCGGAAGGCGGGTGGTATCAAAGGCTTATTACGGCAGGACGGTGTACTTTCCAGAAAAGGAAGCATGGACAGTACCGTGACAGCGAGCAGCGTTGGCACACCCACGACTGAATTGAAGAAGAATCTTGAGATTGCGGGGAAGAGATTGGAGATAAAAGCAAATGGTGCGCCGACTCAGACACATGGTCATGCAGGGAGCAGACTAAGACCTGCAGCATAGCGGCATAAGCGGGAATTCAGGTCCATCGGTATGGCATGTCCAGTCTAACTAATTTGGTGGGTGATTACAGCCATGTAGATGTAGACACCAGTAATTCGCAACATAAGCTTCGAGTTACCGTTGCTTTTGGTCCGGGTAGCTATCCGACCCATCACCCGTATTCGATTGCTTGTTCCATGCACTTGTGACGCACAGTCCTGCTGTCTTTCTGTCGGACCGCGGAAGAGACCCGGGCCGCACCTCCATCAGGGTCCAAAAGCATTCCGCATCATCATTCACGTCGCATTTACGTCGCATTGGGATCTCCAGCATTTCTAAACAGTAGTTTTAAGCGAGTACGCCGCTGACATAAGACGTACCCCTGGCACTCGCTCACAGCAGATCGACGCGCTACGGAAAGCCAAGCGCTCCACTCCACCGGTCGGAAATTGCTTGGGACGTCGAGCCAGCGAGACCTGACTTGCGGCGAGCCTCGGGAAAGCCAGAGAAAGGAGAAGCAACGCATCCGCTTTTATATCTTCTGCTGCAGGCTCTTCTTCGGAGCTTCTTCTGCGTCGTATGTAATACTGGGAGGTGTTTTCTCTCTTTGACAATACGCTTTTGCGATCACCGAATACGTAGCCGGACGACCCTGTCTTCCGCGTTCCGCTTCTCCTCAACCTCACAATGACGGAACCGTTTCCTCCCCTCAACGGCGCACTGCCACACAATACAGCAACGAACGGCGCAGCGCGACGGAGAAGAAAGTCTAGTGCGCTGGGTTCCGATGTACCTGGCGATGTCGACGTCCCAGCGTTGGCAAC